GCTGTGATACACAGATGATTCCTGGGCTATGGTTCCTTAAATAGCTCAGTTCTTGTGTTTTTATATTATGTAACAGATTTGTGATGCTTTTGTGCATTTCTTTGTCTTCTCTTCCAAGTTTTGAAATCTGTCCTAAATAAACTTTTTCACTATGCACCTGAAACATTTGAATTCTATCTTAATGAACCTGATTTACATTTTACATTTTTTATTCATCTCTGTATTTTTCCTAGAGGAAAGATATTCTATAAATCTATATGAATTATTCTGTAATCTATTGATTATAAAAATTCAAGAAAAATTAACAATTAAGAAAAAAACTGAGAATGAGATTAATGACCGATCTTTCAACTGTGTTTACATTCATGGCAGAGTATTACATACTGGGAACTAAGTTTAGCCCAGTGGCAGAAAAAGTGGGTTTAGAGCAATGATTGGTAAATGGAACATTATAGTGTTTAATCAGTGTCTGGTTTCCAGTGATGTTCATTTTCCAATGAACTTTCTGTGTTCAAGTTTGGAACTAGTATAGTGGACACCAGGTTAATCATGAACACAGTCTGGGTGATATTATTTTCATTTCAGAAATAACACCCGAAGATGTCTTAGACATCTCTTAAAATGTTGCCTGTGCACATCACTTGGGTTTATTACAAAATGAGAAAATCTCCTAATCTGACCAGGAAGGGTACCATTGAAATCTTCTCTTCAGTTGTATGTGTGCTTCTACCCTAAACCTGTTAGATCTTTCTCTGCCTTCCCTTGCAACATAGTTCAGAGGCTGATGTATAAAGGAGGAAGAGATTGGAAATAATTATGAATTAAATGAATATAATCTGCCTACCATACTATAGCACAACCAGTAGAAAGCTCCAGACTACATGGAGCTAGGGGTCTTCATGAGTTATGTTTGGGTGTGCTGAATGTAATATGTCTCCGCTAACACATAACATGCTGAAAGTTATTTATTTATTTATTAAAGATTTTATTTATTTATTTATTTGACAGACAGAGATCACAAGTAGGCAGAGAAGCAGGCAGAGAGAGAGAGAGGAGGAAGCAGGCTCCCTGCTGAGCAGAGAGCCCGATGGACGCGGGGCTCGATCCCAGGACCCTGGGATCATGACCTGAGCCGAAGGCAGAGGCTCTAACCCACTGAGCCACCCAGGTGCCCCTGAAAGTTACTTATTTTTAAAGATTTTAAGTACTCTCTACACCCAGCATTGGGCTTGAACTCACAACCCCAAGATCAAGAGTTACGCACTTCACTGACTGAGCCAGCCCGATGCCCCATATTGAAGGTTATTTTTTAACTTTTAAAGGTGCTACTCTCAGGGCTCCTGGGTGGCTCAGTCTTTAAGTGTCCAACTCTTGATTTTGGTTCAGGTCCTGATCTCAGGGTCGTGAGACTGAGTCCCGCTTCGGGTCTGGGCTGAGCTCAGAGGCTGCTTGAGCTTCTCTGTCTCTCCCTTTCCCTCTGCCCCTCCCCCTGTTTTCTCTCTCAAATAAATAAATAAAATATTTAAAAAAAAAAAAAAAAAAGAAGGGCACTCCTGTCACTTCATGGACCCTGATATAGCTCGGGATTGGATTCAATCTGATGTGCTTTAACCCATGAGGTTTCGGCTAAACTCAGTAGCCATGTTAGTTCCCATATTCTCCCGAAGTGGAATGATGCCTGCCGGGCATTCTGGAATGGAGAACTAATTAAGTCATGTTGAAAAGTTCGGAGGAGCCGATATAATGAGTCCTTATGAGTGTGTGTGTTCACCGGTGTGTTCAGTGAGCTCACTACTCTCCTTAATGGATACGTATTTTGCTTTGGAACAAAAATCCTGTATATTTTTCTTTGTCCTCAAGTATTTCCTGGCAGTTCCTCCTTCCGGTTTTCATCCTTCTAAAGCATTTGCCAGGACTTCCTACTTCTGTAGAGGGGAAAGCAGTAGGAGGCCACTCCCACATCTGCCCGTCATCCCGTGGCCTCTGTCCCCGTGGCTGCAGGTCAGGTCTCCCTGGGGCCTCTGACCAGCCTGAGTCGGGGATCTGCCCGTTGTTCTCCACAGGCCCCACAACTAAGATGGAAATGAAGGACTTGACCTTTACCACCCACTCAGCCTGTAGAGAGGAGCTCCTACTGGAAAATATGCCCTAAGTAGGTGACAGTTTTGAATTGAGAGATACATCTGACCCCTGAAAACAAGCACTTAGTTGCAGACGTGAGGAAGTCACAGAAGAGCTGGTTTTCAAAACCCTTTAGAGAAGCCTCATTATTGCTAAGCCTTGGAGCTATACGGAAATCTTTGCTCCTTCATTATCTTCTAAGGCCCCCAAAGAGGAGAGACATTCCAGGAAGGGAGGGGGTCGCCAGCCATGGCTGTACAGGAAAGACATCAAACAAGCACCAAGGGAGCAAGGCTAGTCACCCTGCTTGGTATGGGAGGGGAGGGTCAGGAGTACAGCCCTAGAGGAGCTCAAGGGAGCTCTGCTGTCATGCAGGGAAGATGGTTTAAAAATGCCGCATTCTCTTATTCCCTGGAGCACGGCTGAGTTCCTCTGGGAATAAAGAGGCTTCTGTCTCCCATGCACCCAGCCACAGGTCCCCGGAGAAGGGTTCCCAGTGCAGAGGGCTGAAGCCGGCAAAGTCTCGGGTCTCCACATCCCTCAACGACAGGTCAGCTGACCATGCTGGTGTCCCGGACTCCACAGAGGGCCCTTATAATCCATTAGGCTGTCACACAGAGTGACAGCCTCACTCTGACTCAAAACCACAAGCCCCAAAACCAGACCACTCTCCTTTCTCATAAGCTGTGCTCCTTCAGCAAGGCCAGAGCCTCTGCGCATCCCAAAGCCCCGGTCCCCACGCTCCTTTTCCACCCCTCAGTTCACCCTGAGCTGGCGGCTCCCCAGGCCTGCCTTGTCTTGCAGGCCCACAATTCCCATCGCTTCCTCACAGGCCCGGTCCCCCGAAGCCCACGGGAGACACTCAGAGTCATCGTAGGCCCTGGAGAGCACAGACACTCTCCTCAGGTTGGGGTGAAGAAGGTGGCAAGGGTGGACCCCAGCCCTGGTCCTGACACCAGCCTGTGGTGCTGCCAGCTGTGTGGAAAGCTCCCGAGGTTTAGGCTCTGGCTTCAACAGACAAAAATCTCCTTTACAAAAACATCATGAGAGAAGAAGATGGATGGACCACTGTCCTCCTAAAGCCAGTGCAGCCGAGAGTCACAGAAGTTCAGTCACTCCCTCTGAGTGGCGCAGATAATCCTTGTGGGATGCCCGCAGAAACCCAGCACTTTCCAGGCGCGTCACCTCAGAGGAGCCTGGGATAAGTTTCTCTGGCTTGGACACATTTCTCTTTTTGTGGGGCAAGGTCAGGTTTGTCTTGAGTTTGAGGGTGGAGGGGTCTGGGGTAAGGCAGCTAGAAAGGGGAGCCTCAGAAACGGGACTCCAAGGATCTCTGCTGAGCCCAGAGGAAACCCCACGTTTGTTCTCTCCTTCCATCCACCCACAACTGATTCTCAGTTTCTATCTGACATACACCAGAGAAGTCCTGCTGGGCTAGAAGACCAGAACTATGGGAATGTTGAGAAAAATTATAAAGGGAGTTTTGTGCCACAGATGAAGGATGGTTTCTTTAGTGTTTTGACAACAGAGGCTATATCACCTCTTTACCTGACTTAGAATTCCTTACAATCCATTAGGCTTTTGCCACCAATTTTAGGATGGTTGATAGAGTCCCAGGTTAAACGAGTTAATACTCTGATAGTGTCCAGGAGGAGACCTGGGGCTGAAATATGGCAGCTCTCGGAAGGCATTTTGGATCAGACAGACAAGCAGACAGGAGACAGACTAACCACACTGAGTGGGACAGAGTTCCTCGTAGCCAAGTAAATTTCCCAGGGTAAATGAGGGACGGGTGTTCAAGAAGAGCAAGGGCCCTGTGGGCCACATTCCCAGTCACAAGGTCACATGTCCCAGCTCCCAGGTGGGGAAGTTACGGGAGGGGGGATGTGTCACTGCAAGCTGGTGTCTTAAAAATCTATGGGGCCTTTAATCCCCTTCAACTGCAAATGTCCAAATCAGGGGCAAATCCTGATCCCTGGGCTGAGGAGATTAGTCTCTTGAGTTGAAGTTTCCTGGAAAAAACCCATGTGGGAGATTTGCCCAGTGGGGCAAGTCTGGAGTAAGCTGAGGGAAAGATGGTGGCAGGGCCAGTGGAGCCACCGAGTCTCCCTTTGTCATTGTGGTGTCTCACATACCGTGTTGGGCTTTTTTTCTGGCTCTGCCAGAACCAATGCATGTCGGGAACAAGAGTGGCCCATTTGGGTCATTCTAAAGGCCGGAAACCAGGTTCAGGAAAGAAAGGCCACAAAGGAACCCGGGAGGATGGGAGAAACTAGGTGCCCGGAGATGCAGGCTGAAGAAAAGGGACTCGTGGCTGAGAGCGGTGGCTTCCTTCTGAACCGGACACTTCTACCTGAATTCACTGTTCAAGCCTTAGCCATGCAGGGGAAATGAAGTCCCAGGTACAGGACGTAAAAGTCATCTTGTTCCACTTCCAGAAGGGACCTCATGGTAAGCTGCTAGCTGGGTGGGGTCTGGAGCCTGCCTGGGTGGTGGCGGGTCACGCTGCCCAAGGAGGAGCCTGCCTCTGATTCCCAGGGCCCTGCATGACGATTTATTCAAAGTGCCCACTTCCGGGACTGGTCTGGAGAATGCTGGGACTCCTGACGGTCTGGGACTGGGTTGAGAGGCCCCGCTTCCCACTCCATGCCCCAGTACTATTACTGGTACTGGGTACTGGTACTATTCTTACTGGTACTATTCTAGCCCCAGGAACTCAGCTGGTCACAGAATGCTTTCTTTCCTGCTGCTTCTATCTGTTCTCTTCTGGATCTGGTCTGATTCTCTCTGGCAGGCTTTTGGATTTCTTTCTCTCCTGGCCCAAATGCCGGGGGCTTCCAGCCAGGAAGAATGTTCACCTTCTGGAATGTAGCTCAGCCTTAACTGAATAATCTGGAGGCCTGGGCTTCCGTTTAATCATCAAATTTCAGAGTGGGCATTCTCTGGAGTCAGGTACAGCTGTGGGGATGGGAAGAAGCACACAGGCTCCCTTACGTCTCTCTGACGCACCCGCCAAGCATCTTAGGCTACTTTCTCCCCTCACCTTCACGATTGCTCATGACGCAGATGACTGGTGATATTCCTACCTCCCTCCCTCCCAGCATCCTCTCCCCTGCGCTACCTGCACTGGACAGAAGAGGGGACTGAGGTGCAAAGAGGTACAGTGGGAAGGCGGATCCAGGGCTAGAGTCCAAGTTCAAGTTCAGGTCTCCTGCTTCTCCATTTAGGGCTTGCTTGTTTCCAGGTCTGTTCAGCAACCCCGGCTTCTGCTCCTGCACCTCTCCTGCCCCCTCACCCATGGGGCACAGTTGGGAGAGCTAGGCCCTCAGCTCAGGGGGTGTGTCTGGCTGCCGGCAGGGGTGAGACACCTGGAAAGCCTCCAAAGCCAGCAGTGTCTTGTTGATGCGGCTGATAGTCGGATAGGGAGTGAGATCCACCTTGAACCTGTGGCAGAGAAACACCTGTCTAACACCATCTTGACACTGGGTCTGCCAGGGCATAGGGAGACTGTCCTTGGAGCAGAGAGGGAGGCACAGGGGCGGCTGGATGAGGCCCCAGGGTCTGACCACCTGAGGACCAGGTAAGTTGCCCGGCCACATGGGAGTCTTATTCACAGGCGGCTCTGGGGATGGGCGGGTCTCATGCAGGACAGTCTAGCATCCCTGTCGCTACCGTTCCTATTCCAAGCAACGGCTATTCACCGAGAACCTACTATGTGTAGAGCACAGTGCTCATAATTTACATGCACAGATAACCACCCCACCCATGTCGGAAGCTTCTCAGGGGCACTGTGTGGGTAGGAACATCACCATGTCCCAAACGGAGAGGTACTCTTCTGGACGCCTTCCAGGGAGGTACTCTCTCCTGCCTCACTGAAGGGCTGATGGGACGAGCAGAAGAGAGCTCCCTGCCAGGTAGGGACATGGCACCTCGGGGGGAGCAGGCTCCTGGGGTGGCTTCTTCTAGGGGTGTCTACTGGGCAAGCGGCCGCCTCTTAGGAGCAGAGGCTAGACAGGATCGGAGGGACGGTGGTGGGCATGGTGGGGGGACACTGCACTGATTTCTTCCGCCGGGCTCTTCCAGGCCAAAGGAGCTGGGAAGGCCCGGCACAGGGGGCTCCTTGGCCAGTCTAGGAGAGTCTCTGCGTTAGAGGCTTCCCCAGTAGCTGTAGTTGGGGCCTGACTGTGAGAGGAGGCGGGACATTTGGAGGGCAGGGACCAGGTGAAAGAGGGAGGCAGGCGGGGCTCTCTCTTACCTTTCAGCGTTTGCCACCTGAGGCACTAAGCAGAGATCAGCCATGGACACCTGCAAGAGGGTTGGGGGGTTTGCGTCAGGATGCATGGCCCGGACTCACAGCCCCTGACATTCCTGTCTGCTTCTGGCTCTTCCGCCCCATCCCCACAGCCCCAACTCTCTCTCCTTCCCCTCACGGGCCTGTCTGGGTCTGTGCCTAGAGCTGCCATGCTTCTCCCAGGCCAGGCTCCAGCTGTCCTGACAGCCAAGTCTGTGGGTGGCCAGAGAGGCTTGGATTGTCTCAGTGGATCTTCTCATGCTTGTTAAAAGCCCCCATCAGGGCACTTACGGAGGGCTCCTAGCAGGGAGAGGACCCCTCAGGATGAGGGAGGGGGCCCTGGAACCAGAATTCGGATCTTGGTCCCTCTCCGCACCCCCACGCCTCCTCAGGAAGCTCTCCGGCCCGCACCCACCCTGGGGGTGGAGAGAGACGGCTGCTTCGGGAAGGCCTGGGGGGGGCTTACCTCGTCTCCCACACAGTACTTCCCTGCTGTGCTCCGCAGGATCTGCTCCAGAGCTGTGGGGAGGACACGTGAAGAATCTTACTCTGGGCACAGAATGGACCTTGGCCCCCCAGAGTTTTGAAATGGTGGGGGGACTGGCTGGGGCACGTGACCGAAGGAATAGGCCAACCAGATCTGGACAGAGTTCATGGGGACGTGGGGACAGATAATGTTTCCCTGGGCTCCTCAAGTCCAGCTGCCATTCCCTCCCCGAGAAGGGACAAGGCCGGCCACGGGCCAAGGGAGCAGCTCTCACACGGACGTGCCGGCATGTTGCTGGCCTTCCTCTGGCTGGAGCGGGCAGTGAGGCAGAGCGTGGACCGCCAGCTCCGAGGGGTTGTGGGTCTCAGTGGCTGAGGTTCCCAGAAGTGCCCGAGATGGAGGCCAGGTCTGGATAACACCCAGCCCTACTACCTCCTCAGCCCCGCACCCCTCCCCTCAGCCATGCCATTGTCAAGGGCAAAGAGCCAGGGAGGCTGTGTCAGATGCCCTGGGCCCTAGGCACAAGGGCCATTTTGGAGTGGTCATAGGGCAGCTTGCAGGAGGAAGGACTCACCGTTAAAGCCAGTGTGGATGACCTTCTGGGCCCAGGTCAGCTGGTTCTCCTGTCCCACTTGCTTTAGGACAGACAGGTTCTATGCAACCAAGGATAATCGGTGACTGGCTTTAGAAACCAGGCTGGGCCTGACCCCCAGCCAAGTCCCCTCAGGGGAGCTTCGTTCCCACCCGTCCCTGGCTCTCCGCCTGTCCTCTCCTGGGCTCCCTGAGCCCCTTCTCCCTACTGGGGCACTGGGAGGGAGCGAGGGATCCCAGCAGCTGCCTTCTCAGGTTGCTCGAGTGGCCCCTGTGGTCTGGCAGCTTGTGGCCCTGGCAGAGACGTGCAAGGTGGGGGCACGGGGTGCTGCCGTGGCACTGAGTGTGTGGCCATGACCTGAGGCCCATCTCCTCGGCACACAAAGGGTCTCCCTTACACGGCTCCTTGTGAGGGGAGCGGGGTGCGGCACGGGGGTGGGGCTGGGACAAAGGAGCACAGGACTGGCTTGCAGGAGATCTGGGCTCTGGTTCCATCCTTACAGCCCTGGAGCCATTTTACTTGAACTTCAGCTTCCTCATCTGTAGAACGGGCGTCTGTCTGCCCCAACGTCCTTTGTTAAACAAGACAAGGTAGCTCAGGGATGAAAGCTCGGTGCACGGTCTGGGGTCCTGGGATCTGGGGCTTGCTCTGCCACACTTAGTTGAATGACTCTGCAAACTCTCCACCTTTCTGGGGCCATCTCCTGATTTGCAAAGTCAGGAGTTAACACAGATGAATTGCTTGAATACTTGTTTATCTTTTTTACCACTGAAAACGTTAAAAAATAAAATCTTTTGAGACTCCCAATCTAGAATACAGAAGAGATAAGAGGGAGGCTCTTCTGGTTAAAGGTGGGGAATGGGGGGGTGGCCCAGAGCCTGTGCTGCTCAGCCTCACCCCCTGCCACACGGCCGCTCCCCCTCCTCGAGCACCCCCGGATGAGCCCAGGGGAAAGCTGGGACTTCTCAGAATGTAGCTGGGAACCTAGCATGGCAGCTGATTTCTGGGATCCCATGCCCCTCTGCCATATGAGCTAGGTCTGCGCCCCTGAGAATCCCTCCCGACCTCCTGACACCCCCACTCCCAAGCTGGGTGCCCCACCATGGCACCTCACAATCGGCACGTGTCTAAAGGTAAAACTGCGTGAGGGGAGGCATGCAAGAGGCGTGCAGGGGTGCAGTCCAGAGCCGCACCTGCAGGGGCTGGATGCCACTGGCGATGGTGTCCGAAATCATGCGAACCTGGGCCCTCTTTTTCGGGTCTTGTGGCAGGAGGCGTGGAGTTGGCCGAGTTTCCTCCAGGAACTCGATGATGGCCAGCTGTTTGGAGGGGAGCAGTGAGGCATGGGGAGGGCACGTGGACCCTGGACCAGAGTGACAGGACCAGCAAGCTCCTCCTTGACCTCAGCTGGAGCCTGTGAAGCCCCAATTCCCCAGGAAGGAGCTCTTTTTGGACCCTCATCCTGCAGAACTTGTCTCCCCATTGGCTCGTCTCCCTTCACTTCCCTGAACAACCAGGCAACCTTCCTCCCTCTGACAAGAACTTATCGTGTCCCTGCTAAGGGCTAGGAGCTTGGCCACGCAAACCAGAGCTGCGAGGGCCTCTTATTCAAAGGGCGCGGCTCTCGCCAGGGACCTCCAGGCCCTGCACTCACAGACTGGCTTATGGTGATGCCATCGATCTTCAGGGTTGGCACCTGCTTCATGGGATTCAGTGCCTGGAATTCTTGAGAGAACTGTGGAGATAAGGACCTGATGAGCGAGGCAGCCTGGCCCCAGTTGCCTAGAGCAGAACCAGGCCAACGGGAAGACCTGAGGCCTGCAGCCCCCCTGCACCTTCCTCCTCGGGGGAAGGTCCTGGCTCCAGAGAGATGCCTAGGGGATCCAGGCCGTATCCCCAAAGCCAGTGGCTGCTGAGCTCCAGGATTCACCCCAATGGCCCAGCTATGTGTTTTTCCCTGTACCTCACACTGTGGCCATTAGGGCACGTTCAGGGGTCCCAGCATAGGGCAAGGACCCACTCACCTGGGGTCAGGCACTGAGAGACCAGGCCATGGCAGAACCTGGGCCCTTTCCCATGGCTCCTTGAGCTGCACAGCCTGTCCACCCCCCAACCCCCAGTCCCACCAGGGAGAACCAGCAGGTTCACCTCTTGGGGGGCAGAAATCTGCTAGGTCCCTCTCCAAGACTTCTAACTCCCACATGGTGGCCTGGGGGCGGCCTCCTCACCTGCTGTCCCTGATCCTTTATGAGGTTGATAGGTATGGTCTCATAGTCGATGCTTTTCAAGGCCAGAGCTACGAGAGACAGCAGAGTCAGGGGACAGCTTCTGGCTCTACTTCCAAGGGCTCCATGAGGCTGCCGAGGGAGGTGTCTTTCTCCACGCTGCTAGGTGATCAAGGCCCAGCTTGGCCTCCCCCGTCTCTCTAGCTTCCCGGGTCACCACCTGTTCCCCTGCCCCAGGTCTCTGATGCTCTGCCTCTCTTGCCCCCGAACTCTCAGAGCCTTACTCTCCACTCCCCCACGGGGTCCCCGTGTCCCTGGGCGGTGCTGTACAGGTATGTGCCCGGGCAGCCCGGGAGCTTCTGTAGGGCAGCAAGGAGGTGTCCTGATTACCTCTGCCCCCTCCAGGTCCTGGAACAGTACTTGTTTGCCAGAGACGTGCAATTATTGCCTCAGGAAGGCATCCAAGAGCCAAGGAAGGGGGGTCAGGTGACCCCAAAGCACACACACAGGGAGGGGTGACACCCGCCAGAGAAGGATCCCTTTCTCATCCGTTTTCTCTGTCCTCAGACTTGTTGACTACTGACTCCAAGCAGAGCTTTGGGGGCTCTGTGGTGGTCTCATGGCATTTGCTGTGACTCCCAGTGACCAGATTTCCTCTCTGTGCCCTTCGATCCTTTTCCTTAGCAAGTCAACCAAGTGAAGACTGTGTGTGTGTGTACGTGTGCAGACATGCACTGAAACATGGGGATGATGGTCTCGGAGGAGTGAGGAGAGGAGGCAGAGACGTGTCGCAGTATGAAGAGAGCCTGGGAGACACGGGGCTCCTTCTCTGCGCTGTTCAGCCCCACTGTGGACAAGTGGCGGGAGCCACGGCAGCCCTGCAGAGACAGCACTCCTGTGGCTCGCATCTGGCCAGCTAGGGCGGAGGCTCTGGGCACAGGGGAGGTATCTTCTTGGGAGAAATGTGTCCTCTGGCCCCCCAGTGCTCTTGCCTACTGATTCCAGCAGACACCAAGTGACGGTGGGGTTGGGGAGGGTCACGGTGGATGGCTGCCCGGTGAGGACCAGACTCCCGGAGACAGACTGCTCGCGTTCAGATTGCATCATGTTTGCTAGCTGTGCGGGACAAGGAGTTTGCTGAGTTAATGAGCCTCTTTGCCTTTGTCTCCTCATCTGCCAGGCAGCATGGTGCAGGAGTTAAGAACATGGACTCTGGAGTCAGACCACCTGTTTGAATTCCATCTCGGCCTCTTGCTAGCTACACAGCCTTGGGCAAGTTATTTAAGGTCCTTGTGCCTCAGTTTCCTCACCTGTACAACGGGGACAATAATGATGCCTCCCTCCTAGGGTGCCGCTGACACCCTAGGAATCATGTACATAAAAACACTCAGCACGGTTTCCCCCCAGTATGAGCGATGCCTATGATCTTCGCCAAGGGCTGTGTTAAGCTGAGGGAGGGCAGGGTCAAGCTGGGACTACACCGGAGGGCCCCAAGTTCCGCTTCCATGAAGCCTCCGGGGTTGACACAGGCCAGTTGTTTAATGTGCCAGATGAAATGAGATAAGAAGTGAGGAAGGCCAGCTGTTCCCTGCCAGTTACCAAGCACCTCTGGGTTTTGTGACCCTGCTTTAAGCGTGGTTGCTAAGTGGCTTTGGAAAGCAGTGTGGGAGAAGGAAGAAACAACCACCCTTCCTGCTACCCCCAGTCTCCTCCTGTCGGACTTCCTAGGCAGAGGTGCCCTGACAGAACAGCCCTCTGTTCCCTGCCAGCTTTTTACTCAGGGCTCTCTCCACCCCCATCCCCTCCCACCGAGGCTCTTGGTGGAGGCTGGGCTCTTACCGATTCGAACTCTCCATGAGCAGGAGCTCCGGAAATAGGAGTAGAGGATGGGCTGAGGAGAGACAGGAAAAGGATGCACATTAACCCGTGCTCATGGGGTTCTCTGCCCCTAGGGCCTACTGGGGCGGCAACAGCCCTCAGCCAGGGGGCTCCAAGCCAGTGGTTTCTTTCCATCCCACCAGGCCTCCTTCCGCACCTCAGGAAGACTCAGAGCTCTCTGGGTCAGAGGCCTTGGGAGTTATGGGGGGGGGGGTCCCTCAGCTCCAAACTGTCCAGTCACACATCCCTGAAGTCCAAGGGGCCCCCAAAGGGGCAGCCAGCCTGCAAGTGCCCTCCTTACCTTGTTAGACTCGGTCATGGTGTTGTGGTGACCCTTGGCCTCTCGGGGAATGGCCCCTCTCCCAGAACTTGCAGAGCAGGGGGAGGAACCCTGAAGGGGGTGGGATCCCATGAGCCAATGGGGAAGCTGGGTGAGACAGGCTTCAGGAAAACTTTGACTGTGGTCAGAAAGGGCGACTCTTTTCAACCTGTGGGAAGCTTTTTCTGTTCCTGATGGAACCAGGTTTGGTGTCCTGGTTTGGAAGCAGCAGTTCACGTGGTGCTCTGGGCTGAGAGCTGGTGTACCTGGGGTCTGATCCCAAGGCAGGAACCCGCTCTGCAGGACCTTGGGCAGATCCTTGCCTCCTTAATCCCTAGTCTTTTCTCCCTCATCCGTAAAACAAAGGGTTGCCTTAAAATGATAGCTGAATTCCTTCCAGCAGTGACAGAAAGACCAGGAATTCTAGTTTTTTGACGCTTTGGTGACCCTCTCTTTCAGCTCACCACCCACCAGCCCTCCAGGTTCTCAGCTGATCTCATAAAAATAGCTGAGGGGATAAGCCCATTGACTCCAAAGCCAAGGTCACAAGAGGACAGCCCACAGTGTTCTGTGTGGTGTACGTGTACTTAAAAATGTTTCAGTAGGGGGTGCCTGGATGGCTCAGTGGGTTAAAGCCTCTGCCTTCGGCTCAGGTCATGATCCCAGGGTCCTGTGATCGAGCCCCGCATCAGGCTCTCTGCTCAGCGGAGAGCCTGTTTCCTCCTCTTTCTCTCTCTATCTGCCTCTCTGCCTACTTGTGATCTGTCAAATAAATAAATAAAATCTTTAAAAAAAAATGTTTCAGTTGGTTGCCAACATCAACAAATCAGGATGTTTCATATACAAATCCTATTTGTTTTTTCTTACAAAGGCAGAGACAGTGGTCTTGGGTTCCTGAGTAGCAACAACTGATAGGAGACAATTAACAGCCTCTTTCAGTCATGGCATGCCCTCTCTGATCTGCCCTGTATCCTACCTCGCCCTCTTCTTTCATTTTTGTTACCTTGCGGCACTGGAGGAGGCTGAGTGTGTGATCTCTGATCTGAAGTTTAAGAGACTCAACATTAAACTTCCCGGTGCTTCTTGAGTGATCAGCATTTCAAAGCAGGGCCCAGGATGGAGTTATCAGTAATTAGCTCTCATGCATCTTTGGGAAGACGTAGGTGTATCCATACGATGAGGGAGAGAGAACACAGCAGAACTTTTAGATCACCCCTGTCTACCATCCCTCTGACTACAGATATTTCACTCAAGTTCCCTCTGCCTTCTGCACCCCTCAGCACATCAAACTGCTCTGTGACCCTGCCTTACCATCCCTGAACTACCAATTCATCTTCTAGGTGGGCAAGGGCACTGTGGGAACCTAGGCCCTCCCAGGTTGGTTTCCAGGTCTGGAAGTTCCAGCCTGTACTGGAGACACTTTTGTGGGGAAAGTAAAGATGGTCCTGGTTCGGAGAGCAGGTGATAGACAGCAGGTGTCTTTATAAGGGGAGGAGTTAGGAGGCCAAAATTAGATGTACCCTACTCCAAGGTACATCCCTGTCCTTGTCTGATCAGGCTGGAAGGGCCCTTGGGGCCATCTGGCCGGGACTGCTGGTGAGGGATGGGACCACTGGAGAGCCTCAGACATTAGCTTGGAATCCCTGGAGAAATGCCTTACCGAATTACTAAATGTTCCATCTTGACCTGTACTGAGGGTGACCACAGAGTCACTGTGAATGCCACTGCTCTCCAGTTTCCTGCTTACGGACCATCAGGATTTATAATGGAGAGCACCTTCTGCTCTTCCTCTTACCAGCGATAACGATATCAACTATCCCGCGATCCTTTTTGCACTTGTTTTAAAGCCCAAGTAAAATATTCATCTCATTACCACTCCTAGAGGAACTTCATTTCCAATTCAAATATGGATTCTGACCACTCTAGCAGATTTTATTTTAAAACCATTTCTCACGCATCGTTTTGAGAGAAAAAGACTCCTAAAATCCCATTTGGGAGTGGGAGAGCTATGCATTATTAAGGTGATGCTAATTCCACCCGGTGTGCCTGCCACCTTGGTGGTTCTCAAACTTGAATAAGACTTCAAAACGCTCATGGGGGCGCTTATTAAGCATGCAGATTCTTGGGTCCCTTCCCACAAAGATGACCCCAGGGAAACTCCCCAGGTGATGGAGAGGACTTAAAGTGCTACTGCCTCCCCACCCCCCCAACCCCAAGAGCTCTCTCAAAGTGCAAACCACCCGGGAAGGCCCTACGCTAACAGAACCCGTCGGGCCGACTGGCCAGGAAACAGCACGCGGGATGTAAGGAAGAGGGAGGCAAGGGACGACGTCTGGAAAGCCCGGCAGAAGGGACAGTGAGAGACAGGTGAAGCGCGAGAGTACAGCGACTCCACAGCGCCCCGCACACTCCACGAGCGTGAGGCGCCTGCAGCCCCAACCTCCCCAGACTACAAGCCCCAGCGAGCAGCGGGAAGCGGGCAGCGCGCAGGCGCAGAGCAGAGTCCGCGAGGCGCTCTGCATGCCGGGAGTTGTGCGTTGTGGAAGCCGTAGGAAGGGGGCGAGCGGCGCACCTTTGACCCCCGCCCCTCAGGGTTTCTCATTCTCAGTGGCGCCCCTATCCCCGGATGTGTGGCACAGACCTTCCCCGCTTGCATCTCGCAGCTCCGGCCACCCTTCTTCCACGCCGGGAGACTTCGCGCCTGGGACTCTCCCAACTGGTCCTGCACTGAGGCCCAGTGAGGCCCCGACACGTCAGAACCAGCGCTTCAGTCGTGGTAAAGCGAGGGGTTGGGCTAGAATGATCTTTACGGTCCCGTCTGGGTCGCCCCGCCCTGCCGCCACGCCCCCCCTCCCGAAGCTCCTGGGAGTTGCAGTTCCTTGAGCCTGTTTCCTCCCCGGCCGGCCCGCCGGGCCCGGGCGATCCGTCATGCTCTGCGCCACCAGCCGCCTCCTAGCGGCCCGGACGGCGACCGCGCTCCCCGCGCAGCCCAGAGGCCGGGGCCCCGGGGCCCGCTGCCGGCGCAGGGAACTACATTTCCCAGGGCACCCCGAGGTGCCTCTGGGTGAGTTCTTGGCGGGGCGGCTCGCAAGATCGAGCGTGTCGGCGAGCCGGAGGGCGATCCTGAGGAGGGGCAGGATGCCGACGGCGGTGGGCGGAGGCCCCGCAGGGTCCGAGCTGCGTCCCCGGCGGGGCCGCTGGGGGCCCCAGGTTACTAGGGCTGTGGGCCCGGACGTGGCTGCCGAGCCTGCAGCGCGGAGCCCCAAACGGCCTGCTCGGGGCTCGCGGCGCTTCGAGGCAGCTGGCCGGTGGGCCCTGCTGGCCCTGGTGACGCTGCTGTCCTTCGCCACCCGCTTCCACCGTCTGGACGAGCCGCCGCACATCTGGTGAGTGACAGGAGGGACTCGGCAGGTCTCATGGCAACGGGGGTGGGAACGATGCACCCTCTGATTGGCCCGGGGGCACGGAGGGGGCGGGAATCACAGGGGGAGGGGCGGGGCTGCGCTGGAGAAACAGATTGCGGGAGGTTGCTTTGGCCAGGTGCAGTTTATGTGAGAGGAGTCATTTTTGCTCCCGTGGGTGGCATTGGGATTCCTTAGGATCCGAGGAGTCTCAGACTGTGGCTTTGACCTTCCAAGGAGAATTGGAAATTCTTAGTACGGAATTTCCTAAGGCCTCAGTTCCTAATCTGCAGGATTTCCAGGCATCAGGGGAGGTGAAAATCATCCTTGGGAGCAGGGACAATTTGTGTGTCCAGAGATGTTGGCAGGGTCTCAGGAAGCAGGTCTGGGGTCATCTTGTGAGGAGAGACTTGTTTTCTTAAAGATTTTATTTTGTAGGACTTAGATTTTATGAGATAAGAGTAAAAAGTCTCCAGCTAGAAGGAGGAAAAGTTTTGCGCAATCTGAAAATGGTTAATTTGTTTAGCCAACAAGTGATAACATGTTTTGTCAGTATCCCTGACTAGAAGGTTAGTGTAGGGGATGTTAAAAATGGAATTCCTTGACCAAAAAGCAAGCCAGCTAACAAACTACCTGGGCTGTCCTACTTGGAAGTGAATAAATTAGTTTGTTATTGTTTCATGAATGCTGGCAGAAGACATGAGACTCCTGGGTCAGAGACAAAGGACTCATTACTCACAGGGCAGGAGGCAGCATGAATATCAACATACTGGATTAAGTTTGAATCTTCCCTCCCTCCTCCACCCCACTGATCAGCAGTTGTTAGGGGGAAAGAAAGACAAATCATGTCCAGGTATGGTCCAGGAAGAATCTAAAATTTTCAAAATATGGGTTTATATAACCCTCCACCTCTTTTGTCCAAGAGGAGATGAACCCTTTCTGGTGATGACTGCATTAGGTGACAAAACTGCTTTACTAAGGTGTGTGAACCAGGAGGAGGTCAGGGAAGTAGAGTCAGAAATCATTTTGAGAAGATTGTTCTGTGCTCAACAATATCAAATGCGTTTGGAGGGTAGGGAGTGTGGAATGCCATCAGATACTTCGACTGACTGTTGGCTCATTATTTTGTGGCCATTGCAAAAAAAAAAAAAGTACGCTATTGTCAGACTTAGATGGTTTGGAATGACATAGTTTAGTTTCAAGTACTGCAGTAACATATGTGGAGTTAGATGGTTGGACTGGAACAGCATCAACACGTTAACCTGAAAAAGTGTCAGTAGCAGTGAAGTGCCAATGATAGCCTGGAGAGGGATACAAAGTCCTAATACAGTCAGTTTCCTTGGAGCAGGCAGGGCCAATGCCCCCATTGTGGCCTCCTTTATTGCAGGATGAATTGGCCAACTTTTGGCAGGAGTCACAAGTCAGCACAATGCAGTGATGGCTTCTGCTTCAGAAACATATGGCCCTTTACTTCATGCCCAGTCCATGATGGTAGATGTGTTTCCTCATGTGGAGCATTGATGAATCCTGGTGACAATGGCAGTAGTCTGTTTGGTACAGGCTTGATCTGCAGCTTGATTTCAGTCAGTCTTAACAGAATCCTGGTCCTTACTGTGGGCATCCATACAAGTGATCCAGATTGTCCCACTGACAGGCAGCCATGACTGTTTTGCCACAATTCTTGGCTC